TTTCGAGCAACTGCGCATGCGCTGCATTTAACTGGGTTCTTTCGGTAACAAAGAGAAAGCTGAGAATTGCTGGGTTCTTTGCGTCGTTACCTTTTCTAGCATATCTTTGTAATAAAAGACTGAAGCCATCAATAGACTGCGTTCAATAATAGAGAAAAATAGCACAGATAGTGCGAGTGTTGAGTAAAGAAAATGATCGCTCTATTGACGGCATGTTTGTTTTTGCAATCCTTGTGCGCGCGCTCAATTGCATCAGCAAAACCGCGCGCGAAAACTGTGTTCGGCCACCTTAAGCACAACTTACCTTTAACTGCATGTTGGACATCAAAATTGTATTCAAGTTTCATGATGCAGATCCACTCTATACACTACAGAAAATTTCCAAAACAGCTACAAATAACGTACTGTACCGAAGTATTAACAGTTTGGTATAGTGCTTGCACTGTCTTGGCCGCTAGCATAATGTACTTATCAAGATTTTTTCATAACAGGTGCATTAGTTTTCCTAGAAATGTAGTTTTTGTTTGTTATATAGAAATGTGTTAAGTTGGATTTTCAACTAATTTGTGTAACATGCGATTTTCTATTTTATTTTAGTGTAGGAAACGTTTGCACTTGTTACTTCTCAAACTCAATAATAATTCATCAGTTCCCGAGGCATTTTACTTGCTCATTCAGAAAGTCTTTCATTATCTTGGACTGTGTCATTCAATTGAACAAGGTTAAATTCTTTACTTTGAAAGATAATTTGTCTTGCCAGCTCTTCCACAGCGCTGTTCTTAACTTTGCGTCGGACGCTAAGAATGTTACGCAGAATAACCTTGTACTCTCGTCTGAACAGCCTATTTGTGGCGCCATATATGAAGGGGTTGATGGTACTACTCAAATAGGCTAAGAACGCGTATGTAAGGTACGCCTGTCGCGGCAAAGTGTGTTCCCCGCGCGCGGCGTCAATATTATCCATGACAGAGATAGGAAGCCAGCAACATGTGAAGCCGACCATTACTGCTGCTAAAGTCTTGGTCACTTTTGCTTCTTCCACGTTCGCTCTGAGTTGATGATGATTATTTTCATATGAAAAAACTTTATTTGATTTGGATACTGTGTAGAACACTTTGGCGTAGCAGATTGTGATTATGGTTAAGGGCGCTGCGATATAAACGCACTCTATAAAGACAGTATAAGCAATATTGCTTTCAAATGTGTACAAACACATCGCTTTGCCCGGCTGAAACTCAAATCCGCCGTTGTTGAAGAAAAATGGAGGAACAGATCCAACGAGAGCCGCGCACCAAACAGCAGCAATGTACAGCAAAGCTCTTTGTTTTTTGAACAACACCATGTACTTTTCTGGTTTGACAACGCAGAAATATCGACTTACTGCAATTAATCCCATAGTCTGAAGAGAAGCCAGTCCAAATGTCAAGGCTCCGAAACCATGAAATCGACAAAAACGCTCGCCAAATATCCACTGACCGTGGAACAGAGTTACAACTGAAAACGGCATACACCAGGTAGACATGAGAATATCGCTTACACCAAGTGCTATTACAAACATATTGGAAAGTGTACGGAGGGTTTGGTTTCTGTACACGGCGTAACAAGTTAGAAGATTGCTCAAGAGGGCCACGACATTGATAACAGCAAGCAAAACTGTTTCAGTCCAAACAAGAGGCTTGGCTCTCGTGGCAAGCGCGACAGAGAGTATTTCCATCACGCCGACCTTAAACTGATTACGGAACGGAAAATTCGAAGCTATAACATATCAGCTTATGATGTCAGCGGCTGAGTATCACACCATATTCTTTGTCATTCTATAGGATAATTGACAAGTATCTGCGCTATTGTATTGTATTAATAGAACGGGCAGTCAAGGGTTTAAACTGGGATGAACATTTTGCCCGCTAAAAGTTGTAAAAATATTGATCGGAAAGTCAGTGCTGATTAATCACGAAACAGCCTTTAGCTTCGAATATCGTGTGTACGTTCATTACTGAGATACTTTCCGCATTTGATTGAGAAAAAAGTCACGACAGATTGCAGGCACCTGTCGTATCACTTCTTCCAAACGTTACCGTTTCTAAAAGTGATCATTAATTAAATTAACTACTTATCTCCTTTTGCATCATCTCCATAGTGCCAAATAAATAGTCGCCGAAAATGTTGAAAATCATCAACATCGGGTAATTTTAATGATGCTTTACCACTTTCTTAGAACTAAACTTACAGGAAATGTAAGTAAAACAGTAATGTGATTTGTATTGTGAACTGTGGATTGAAAGTAGTCTAATATATACGAACACTGCTATTAGTGCTTACGGTTTAAATTGTTTATATCTGTCTCGGTGGGAAAGCTCTGTACTTTTGCCTCGGGTCATATAATGACGCCATTGGATATCTTATTTAACGAACACCCTTGAACATGTTTCTATGACAACGCCATAAAAATACCCCCCGACGTGTAGCTTTGTAACGGAAATAGTTATATTTTTAACAAGTAAAAACTATAGAGTCACATTATGAATAAAGATTTCTGGGATACGACATCATGTAAGCCAGATTTGTAATCTTCTCAAACTGTTTTTTTGTGTCGTAACTCTATCAACTGCTCTATTAAAAGAGGAACGCATGACTTTGTACAGTTTCTGCTCATTATTTACTGGTAATCCTTACGTCATTAACCTTTATTTTTAATTAGTGCCCGCGCAAACGAACAAAAATGATTTATGAAATATTACTTTTTTCCTAACATGTTTCTCCTCTACACGGAAAGCGTGTCTAAGCTATTTCTTTCTTCTCGGAAGCAATATTTGTTTCCGAAACAAATGTTTTGCGTGGGCGCCCATTAAACAGGATACACATGAAAGGAAATAATATTTGTCAAGCAAAGTTTCCTCTTTTGGAGGGCCTTAATTAAACCTCGAGCGATTATAACAAGTCTTACAAAAAGAGCTGTCTAAGTTTAGGCTCTAAAGGGGAACCGGAGATCAAAACATGAAAGAGCAGTGGTTACTTGCTAATCAGGCCTCTGTGAAGCTAATCTGATATGTTTAGTTATGGAGTAAAATGTCAGGGCAGATTGCTAGTGGGAACAAGGTATGAAACTGCTGGACTTTGCGATAGCCCTGGACTTGTGCTGAATTACAACTAAGTGACTGACATTTCAGTATGATGTTGAAGAGGGAACAAAAGGTGAAGAGGAAAGAACTGACATGTTTTAACTCAACATTGCCCTTTTCAGCCTTTATGATGGTGTTGAATTGTAGATAAACTGAAAAGTTTTTATTGGCCAGCAGCATTTTTAATCCTATAGATAAAGAAAAGACTAACGGTGTTTGATCTGCAATACGACAAAGATCTTTACCATATTTGCCGTTTCTTTTCTTGGCTCCATTTTCTTAAGCACGATTTTTGAAAGTGACGAAGGGTACATTACATGGATGAAGCGCCTTGCGATTACATCACAGATACTGTAAGCCCTATATTACATTTGAGGTTACAGATCTGACGGCTATTCAAAAAGTTTATTAATTTTACGGGAAATGAATGATAGAATTTTCCGCAAGTCTAAATTGGAAGGTATAAACCATCTTTCTTAGGTTCCAACTGGAAACGATTTTTATATATTTTGGAACACAGAAATGACTATATTTGGATTACCTATAATCAATGTCAGTGCATTTCAATCCTGATACGAGAAAAACTAATTAAGTGAAATTGGTCGCTCTTGCTGTTGCTAGTTTCAGTGCTTCTAATGAATTATATTTTTTTGAACTTTCTATGAATATTTCACTATGCATTCATTAATCATCGATGTCAGTTTCAAATTATATAACACTCTTTTTTTTTTTTTTTTTGCTTTCTTCAGAAAAGCTTATTTCAGGTATACTTGATTTTCTAAAGGAAAACTTTTCTCCGGTAAGAAACAACTCTCGAGCTCTGAAGCCTTCTTAACAATGTTATTCGCGTTTTGCAAACAAGCAAATATCATTTTCTTTTTTAGACAAATCGACTCGTCCCAGTTTAGATTGTTTTAATATCTTGCACTATGAGCAGGTGACAAGCTTTCGGGTAAAAATTTATAAATAACATCTATTTAGTGCCAATTTTTTTTTTTACCACCGGATTTGTAATAAATTCGGGATATAAAGAAAGGCTTTTTGTGTAAAAGATCAGAGAAGATTAAGAATATAACGAAATGACTTGAAACCATAACCTGAAGTCGAAAGATTTATTGCGACATCGTTGCTGTCATTTTGCTTTACAATTACATATGTAATGTTTTCCGTATAGAAGCATTAAGTTAAATGCGAATTGTTTCCATACAATTAAAGAGACTGTGAAAATTAGTAATTGGTGAAAGTTTTAGCTCTTTGGGTCTAATATTGAAGGAAATGTGGGCTTTCGGAAATTACAAAATTTCTCGGAAGAGAAAGCGTTAATAAGCTCATACATTCATAGGTCAATTAATCGTGTCTTTCCCTTTCAATACACTCTTTTTTTTACAGGAATATATTTGACAAGAATATCGAGGCTGAAATTTACGAGATTGTAAAAATATTTTTAAGAATAAACCCGAGGCTCAGATTTTGAGAAGAATATGGCTTTGCGTGTTGAAAATTTTAAATAGAATACAATTATATGTTTTTTACCAAACAGTATATATAAAATTCACTTTCTCTAAACGGCAAAACTACCAAAAAAACATATCTGCAAGAAGCTATGTGCGTCATTTTAGGCTGTAACGCTTGCAGCCTGGCTCCAAAATTACTTTAACACCATCCAGACACCAAATACATTCGAAACCAGAAATACGCTGTAATCTAAGAATATTCACACAAATATTTTCAGCCTAAAATCGGCCGAAAAATAAGAATATTCAGCCTCGGCTGTAAATAAATATTTTTATGAAAAAAGAGTGTATTCAGACTTGGTACTTTTGAGGCACTTAAGCTGATGAAGCAAATATTGTTAACCAAAATTGCAGTATAAAAAAGTGCAAAGTTACAATTTGCGTCCTCCTCGCTTCCCTAATGGAAACCAAATGCTCAGTAAC